ACACTACCTGACTTCAATATATACTATAAAGTTTTAGTAACCAAAACAGCATGATATTGGTATAAAAACAGACACATAGACCAATGAAACAGAATAGAAAATCAAAAAGTAAATCCATGTATTTATAGCCAACTGATTTTCAACAAAGGTGAAAGAACACTTTCAACACACAATGGGGAAAGAACAGTCTCTTCAATAAATAGGGCTAGGAAAACTGAATATTCATATGCAGAAAAATGGAACTAGACCCCTAACTCTCATCATATACAAAAATCAACTCAAAATAAAGACTTAAATGTACGACAAAACTATAAAACTACTAGAAGAAAACAAAGGGGAAACACTTCAGGACATTACTAGGCACAGATTTTATGGCTAAGACTTCAAAAGCACGGGCAACTAAAACAAAAACAGACAAATGAGATTATATCAAACTAAAAAGCTTCTGCACAGCAGGAAACAACAGAGTGATGGAAAAACTTGTAGAATGGGAGAAAATATTTGCAAACTATTCATACAACAGGGAACTAACACAGAATACACAAGGAATCCAACTCAACAGCAAAACTATAATAATAATAATAATAATGTGATTAAAAACCAGGCAAAGGAACTAAACAGACATTTCTCAAAAGAAGACATAAAGATGATCAAGAGGTATATAAAAAAATGTTCAACATCACCAGTCATCAGGGAAATGCAAATCAAACCACAAAGAGATATCATCTTACTGCAGTTAGAATGGCTATCGGTAAAAAGCAAAAAATAACAAATGCTGGTAACAATACAGAGAAAAGGAAACTCATAAATGCTGTTGGTGGGAATGTAAATTAGCAGTGCCACTAGGAAAATAGTATGGGAGTCCCTCAAAAAACTACAAATAGAACTACCATATCATCCAGCAATTCCAATATTGGGCATTTATCCAAAGAAAAGGAAATCAATATGTTAAAATGATACCTGCACCTCCCATGCTTACTGCAGCACTATTCACAAAAGCTACTATGTGGAATCAACCTCAATGTCAATCAACAGATGAGTGGATAAAGAAAATGTGGTGTATATGCACAACAGACTGGTTAGTAATTTTTCTATCCATTTGGCTTCTCACAAGTCCAGCTTGAGCTTCTTTACAGCATGACAATCTCAAGGTAGTCAGAATTCTTGCATGGTGACAGGCTTCCCCCAAAACAAATATTCTCAGAGACCAAAGCATACTGTAAGACTTCTTGTGACCTGACTTCATAAATCCCAGAATGTAATTCCAACATTAAGGCCGGTCAAAGTTCAAGGAGAGAAAAATTAGACTCTGCTTCTCAGTGAGACAGTTGCAAAGAATTTGTGGAATATGCCCATAATACTAAAAGGTTTAAAATAAAAGGCTGGGAAGAGGACCTCTTCTGCAAACACAAATAAAAAGAAGAGAAATGAATCAGTATAATTAATATAAAAATACTTCAAAGCAAAAACAAAAATCAGAAAGCAGAATTCTGAAGAAAGTAAATTCATAACAGTAAAATGTTTAATTTACTAAAAAGATATACTAATTCTAAATTTGTATGCACCTAATAATATAGCTTTAAAATAAATAAAGCAAAAACCGAATTCTAATATCTAAACAAATATACATTTATGGTGGAAGATTTTAACACACCTCTGTCAATAATTGATACAGTAGGCAGCTTTTTAAATGGTTACAGTATAAATTTTAATAACATTACTAACCAAGTTAACCCTGCACCTAATAATTGCATCATACACAATTATATTCAAGCACACATAGGATGTCCACAAAACGTACATATTATGCCACTAAGCAAGTTCCCACAAATTAGAAAGGTTGAAATTGTATGTTCTCCAACCATACTGAATTTTAATTAAAAAAATAAAAAGGTAATTGGAACGTTGTTATATAGTTAAAAGTTGGCCGGGCGCGGTGACTCAGCCTGTAATCCCAGCACTTTGGGAGGCCGAGGTGGGCGGATCACGAGCTCAGGAGATGGAGACCTTCCTGGCTAACACGGTGAAACCCCGCCTCTACTAAAAATACAAAAAACTAGCCGGGCGAGGTGGTGCATGCCTGTAATCCCAGGTATTTGTTATGCTGAGGCAGGAGAATGGCGTGAACCTGGGGGACGTAGCTTGCAGTGAGCCGAGATTGCGCCACTGCACTCCAGCCTGGGCGACAAAGCGAGACTCTGTCTCAAAAAAAAAAAAAAAAAAAATTAAATATGACATAAACTGTAAAATACTTGGAACTGAAGGATAGTGGAAATGCTGCATGTAAATACTGGTGGGATGCAGCTAAAACATTAATTACATAGAAATTGATTACTTTAATACATATAGTAGAAAAGAAGAGCTAAAGAGTAATGACCTAAGCATTCATTTTGAGAGGTTATAAAAGTAAGCTAAAACAAACAAAAGAAAATTGGCCAGGAACGATGGCTCACACCTGTAACTCCAACACTTTGGGAGGCCGAGGCGGGCCATCACTTGAAGCCAAGAGTTTGAGACCAGCCTGGGCAATGCAAAAATCTTAAAATGTTAACTCGTTTCAATTCCTCTTGAGTCATATGCTATTTTGTCACATTTTAAATATCATAAGAGATGATTATTTTGTTTATACAATTAATATTCTTTTAAATAAACATACAAAACAGATTCAACAAAGCTAAAAAGTGGGCTCCTTTTTGAAATAACTGATAATATGACAACCTGTTGTGCCATTTATCCAGAAAAAAGAGACAGGAAGCAAAAATAATATCAAGAACGGAAAGGGAAATATCACTATAGTTTCTGTAGAAAGTATGAGTATATAACTGAGAATTTAGATTAAACAGGAAAATACCTGAAAAAATATTGTCTACATAACTGATTCAAGAGTAAATTAAACTCTGAATGGTCCTTATACTGTTAAAATTGAGTCAGTAATCAGAAATATTCCCACCAATCAAAATCTTGATACAGATAACTTCAACAGTGAGTTCTCCAATCAAATAGGAAGTAATTCAAAGATTATACAAACTTTTACAGGAAACAGAACATTTTCTGGAAGTTTTCAAAGATTATTCTTCTTTGTTAAGTATTCAATTTATGCTAGATTCTTATTTATAACTTGAATACTTAACAGAGAAGAAATTAGGAAGAAAAACAAGGACATATCAGTATCACCTGGAATAAAGATGCAAAAATATTTTGGAAATTTAACAAAATAAGTAGTATATAAAAAGGATTATAAATTATAATCAAATTATGTTTATCCAAGGAAGTAGAGGTTGATTTGCCATAAGAAAACCACAAATCATAAATTCAACACATGAACATTGCCAAAGAAAAAAATTTATACCTCCCTCAAAAGATGCAGATAAAATATTTGATAACATTCAACCTCAATTATAATGTTTTAATTTTTATGTTGAGACATGGTCTCACTCTGTCACCCAGGCTGCAGTGCAGTGATGTGATCACAGATCATAGATCACTGATCAACCTCCCCAGATCAGGCTATCCTTTTAAAATTAAAAAAAAAATTGGATAGAATAATTCCTAGAGCTCACAAAGGGCTGGAAATATTTCACATTCCTACCAGTCAGAGAAGAGAGACCTGTTAATGCACAGGGCATTAGGTGGTGTCCTCAGGAAAGTATTGCTGTAATAGAAGGCCAAATTAGTGCTGCACTAAAAGCTGCTCTGAATGTGTGATAACAAATCTTAAAATGAAGCCTTGAAAAGAATAAATTGGTACCAAGCAACTTCAAGTCAGAACTAAGTCCAAGACTCTTTAAAGCAGAGTTTCTCAACAGTTTTGGAACTACTGACATTTTGAGCTGACTAATTCTTTATTGTTGGGGGACTGTCTGTGCACTGTAGGATGTTTGACAGCAATTGGATGGTGTTTAGCAGCATCTCAGAGCTCCATTATTAGATGCCAGTAGCAATTCCCTAGTTGTAACAACCAAAAATGTATCCCAGCATTGCCAAATTATCTCCTGGGTGGGAGTAGAGGGGGCAAAACTTTCTTATCGAGAACCACTGCTTTAAAGGAACACACACACACACACACACACACACACACACAAATTCCAGCATCTGACAATGTAAAATTAACAATGTCTAGCATCTTATCAGAGATTACCAGTCATGCAAAACAGCAAGAAAATATATCCATATAAGAAGATAGATCAAAAAAGCAAACTAAGGACAAAAATGTTGAAATTAGCAGACAACAAAGTTAAAACATCTATTATACAGTCACCAATACCTTTTGGAACCCTGCAAACTTCGGAAAAGAAATAATAACAAAAAAACAGCTCTCTCTATATATGTATTATACATGTGTTAGTAATTATCTGAATGCAAATAAAAAATTGAAAGAAGAATCACAAGATATTTTGCATGGGATACATGAGAGGGGAACACTGATGTGCCTAGAGAATAAAAAAGTAGAGACCAATCAAAACAGGTTTAAAAAAGAAAAAAGAAAGAAAAGTGCACTTTAAAAAAGTATTTATGTGAAAAGTTATGGAGCTCTTTAAAATAATATCTGTGTGGGTAAATGTATAAATTAAATTTTAAAAAATTTAAATTTAAGATTATGATTAGCCTCATTAGAACAAACATTTTCTAAATGTTTAACTTCTCACAACGTGCAGAATTTTTTGTAAATGCTCAATTGCACAATAAATACTTAGAACTATTAAGAATACAACAGAAACAAAATATTCTTGTTTTGCACATTTCATTATGGTTTCTGAGTTAAGATTTCACTCTGAAGAATAATCCAACACATAATGTCCAGAGCAGAGTTGTTAAATTCGATAACAACTAACAAAATTAAAATAAAAGGGAAGAATAATTTGAAATTGGCAGGAAAGATGTCTTAAACAACTGCAAAGAAGGCTAAAGTGTTTACTAAGATAATATTTAAAAAGATAAGCTTACCTCTTTCAAGCATTCTGAGTCCTCCCTCTGGCCTGTTCCCTCTGCAGAACTCAGACAAGGAGGAAGGCTGGGACTGAAGGCCATGAGGTCCGTCTTAGGTGGGCCCTCCCCAGAGCACACCCTCTGCTGCCTCTGCTGCGAGTACGACCAACTCCCTACCGCGCTAGAGCACACCAGAGTGGGCTTGCCCAGGGCGCACGCGCCCTCGGTGTGCGGCGACGAGCACCGCAGCGCAGTATACAGTAGCAGCGTGAGCACCAACAGGCTGGACACTGCGCAGATGGCAATGATCAGGTACACGTTGACATCCACCAGCGCCGCTTCCTGACCCACAGCGCCTGCGGACGCCCTCGACGACGCCTTTGGCTGTTGGCCGCTCTCCACCAACGACAATAGCACCGTTGCCGTGGCCGTCAGCGCGGGCTCACCGTGGTCCTTCACCAGCACCAGAAGGCGGTGGCGCCGGGCGTCCACCTCGTCCAGAGTGCGTGTTGTGCTGATCTCGCCAGTGTACAGCCCCACGCGGAACGGGATGCGCGAGCCGACCGCCGCCGGTTGCAATTCATACGAAAGCCAAGCATTGTAGCCGGAATCGGCGTCCACTGCGCGCACCTTCGCCACCACGTGGCCTGCACCCACCGACCGCGACACCAGCTCGCTCACTGTGCCTCCAGCGCTGCCAGCTCCGGGCGTCAGTAGAGCCGGCGCGTTGTCGTTCTCATCCAGCACGAACACCTGCAGCGTCACGTTGCTGCCCAGAGGCGGCACGCCCGCATCGAGCGCGCTCACCTGGAACTGCAGCAGCTCCAGTTCCTCGTGGTCCAGCGGCTGCAGCACGTACACCTTGCCGCTCTGCGCGTGCACCGACACGTAGCTCGACAGCGCGCGCTCGCCCACCCGCCGCTCCACCAGCGAATAGGACACCAGCGCGTTCTCCTGCGCGTCCGCGTCCCGCGCAGACACCGTGAAGATGTGGCAGCCCGGCGGGTTGTTCTCTTTCACGAACACCGTGTACTCGGACTGCGCGAACGCCGGCGCGTTGTCGTTCACGTCGGCCACTCCCACGGACACGCTGGCCGTGGCCCACAGCGAAGGCGAGCCCCCATCCCGCGCGGTCACCACCAGTTCATAGGCTGACACGCTCTCTCGGTCCAGGGCGCTGTCCAACACCAATGAGTAGTAATTCTTGTAGGTGGACACCAGCTTGAAGGGGACGTGCGGCGTCAGGGTGCAGGTGACCTGTCCGTTTGAGCCAGAGTCACGATCGGACACACTGATGAGGGCAATGATGGCGCTAGGCTGAGTGTCTTCTCTGATGGGGAGTGACAAAGAAGTGATGGTAACCTCTGGGGCGTTATCATTTACATCTAGTACTTCCACCAAAAGGGTACAATGACCCGCCATTGGAATATTTCCTTTGTCAACTGCCTCCACAGATATTTCATACAATTTCTTTTCTTCGAAATCTAGTTTGCCTTTTGTCCTAATTTCTCCGTTGTTGGGATTTATGGTAAATGCATATACCACTGCAGGCGATACAGGCCTTCTAAATGAGTAAACTATATCTCCATTTGTACCATCATCAGGATCTGTGGCATTTAGTTTGATCACTAACGTTCCATTGAATGCGTTCTCTAACATCGTCACTTTATAAACGGATTGGTAAAATTCCGGGGCGTTATCATTCACGTCCAGAATCGTGATGAGCAGTTGAACTGTGCCTGTCAGTTCGGGTTTACCTCCATCACTGGCTGTCAGTAATAAAGTATGTTCCTGAATTTCCTCTCTGTCCAGTGTTTTCCTCAGTATAAGTGATAATGAAGACATTTGCTCACGACTATTTTGTGTGTCCAAAGCGAAATAATCGTTGGGATACAGTCGGTAGGTCAATGCCGAGTTTACTCCAATATCTGCATCGGATGCGCCATCTAGTGGAAATCGAGTTTCTGGAGGTCTAGATTCTGCAATGGTTATTCGTTTCTTGCTTTCAGGAAATACGGGCGGGTTGTCGTTAATGTCCCTCACCTTCACCTCCACATGGAAAACCTGTAGCGGCCTGTCCACGATCACCTCCAGGTGGATGCTGCACTCCGCGCTCCGCCCGCACAGCTCCTCGCGGTCGATCCGAGAATTCACAAACAAAATGCCATTCTGCAGATTTACCTCCAGAAGGTCCCCGTGTGTTTTGGACGCCACCCGGAACAGGCGCGGCACCAGCTCTGCCAGCTCCAGCCCTAGGTCCTGAGCGATGCGCCCCACGAAGGTGCCGTGTTTTGCTTCCTCGGGGACGGAGTAGTGGAGCTGGCCACTACCCGTCTCCCAGGCTGCGAGGATCAGAAGCCAGAGCAGTAGTTGCCGCTGTCTTGGGCCTCCTTGCCAGGAAAACACCATGATACACTCCAAAACCCTCAGAGATATCTGCAATATATACAATGCCTTACCTCAAACTGCCTCTCAACGCCCAAGTTTTATGGCTTCCTAGTGCGGGAGGATTCGCAAGAGGTATTCCGCTTTCTGCTATGTTTTCTGCAGGAAGAAACAAACGGCGGCTCTTTCTTCGCGGAAACGTTCTCAGTGAAGAGCGACACCATGCGCATGAACGTGTAAGTGTAAGTATGACTCAGTCTTCATATTTTCCATTGATGCAGGATTTTTTGCCTGCATTTCCTGACATTTTCACTGCAAATACGTGATTGAAGATTAAATGTTTACCTTCCCAGAAACAGCAAATCACTGCATTCTGCTCAGTATTTGATATTAGTTGACAATTGGTTGATGAGTTTCATCTTGCCACAAATTTGTTTTTCCATGTGTAAGACTTCCATGCAGAACTTGAAAAGACAAATATTCGACGTTCATTGTGGGACAATTGATCTGTAGTTCTGCATAGTCACGTAGGTTTTTGTGGGACTGTCCTTTTCCTGTAATATTTTTCAAGACCTCCTCACACAACAGCCATTGACTCCAAAAGGAAACAACAATCACATAAGAATAAAATGGGTGACGGTGAAAAATATTGATAAGCGATATATCAGACTTTGAATAAATACACCATATTTATAAATTTCCCTCAATGTTACTTGAGATGTGGATACAATATTTATATTCAAAAGAAAGTGTTCAGTCAATATGTGTGTGATTTTGTATGTGAGTGTGTGTATGTGCATAAACACAATAATTTAGACACAACAGTGATTTAAGGTTTTGGATTCTGTTTTTATAAAATATTCCTGGAACTAGTATTCTATTTATTTAATAGAATTTAACTTACCGCCCCCGGCTGCAATTCATACAAAAGCCATGCATTGTAGCCCGAATTGGCTTCCTAGTTAAATAGAATTTAACCAGTAGGTTAAATTTTCCATTTTCTCTCTCCATCTTACTTCATCATCACTGAGTAAAACCTTGCCATCATTTAAATTGACTCTAATTTTCCAAGAAACAATAGCTAGACAAAGATGTTAACATATCTTTAGCAAGGAAGAGAGGAAGAGGATCTCACTTTTATCTATTGTTATAACTCAAGCCACAAAATCCCAGGCCAAATAGTGTAATGAAAAATATATCATCGCTCCAATAATTATCTGGCCTATTCTGTGCACAACTCTACAGGAAATGACTGTTGGATTTATTTCCATAACTCTGCTCTCCTCTAAAAATTTAGGCCGAGAATTTGGTATTCTCTTACCCTCATCATCCTCTCCTGCTCCATTACTTTTACCAACATAGTATTCCTCTTATAATGGAAATTGTTCATTGACTCTCTAATTCTTCCTATCTGGCTCTACATTTCTTTATTTACCTCTTCACATAATTAGACTACATAGTCAACCATTTAAAATATGCCCTTCCAGACACCCTAGAGTCATTCACTTATTTGTATTACTTATCTAACATTTTTTTTAGCCTCCAACACACAGTTACCCTGACAATCCATTTTCTCTATTCTTCCTATTAAGCTGCTCAGTACTGTCACTTAACCATGACTATTCTCTTCAAGTTTACTCTCACCTTTACCTCAGTTGGGCTCTCAAGTAAATTAACTCCTCCCTCTTGCTTACAGATTCTTCTGTATTCTCTTCCCTTTCTTCTCAAATTCTCAACCTCATTTCCATCAGTTCACTTTCAGATGATGCACACATTGAGAGATGTCACCAAACAGAAATTCAATAGCTCTCTTCTCAAGTCATTTTCCTTATATTATCTGTTTTCATTGTCTACTAATTGTAAGGAAAAACTGTTCCCACTTTCAAGGTCAACCATACGCTCTTAAGAATCATTTTCTATTCTCTCATAGTTTTCATCTAAATTCTCCTGCTGCCTGTCTTATTTTTAGTATCTTATTTTTTACTTGTTTCTTTCACTCACACTATGAAGATATTCAAACATCTTTAACTAAAATATGTATACACACACACACACATACATTTAAACGTTCTACTTCTGGGGGAAAACCTATTCTGTTTATCTTTTTCCCTTCATGTTTAACTTCTAACATATACTTGATATATTGCACTTTGAGCTTTATTTCAGCTTCCTGTTGTCTATCCTCCTATGATTTTAAGCCTACTATAATAGGTTGAATTGTGGTCCCCAGAAAGTTATGCCCACATCTCAATCCCTGGAACCTGTGGATTTTACTTTATTTGGTGAATGATATGATTAAGTTAAGGATCTTGAAAGGATTTTATCCTGGATTATCCAGATGGGCACTAAATACAATCACATGTAACTTTGTAAAACCAACACAAAGAGAGAGACATGGAGAGAAGGAGGCAATGTGACCGTGAAGGCTGAGAAGGCTGAGATTGGAGTGGTTCAGCCACAAGCCAAGGAACACCAACAGCCATCAGAAACTGGAAGAAATAAAAACCAGATTCTTCCCTGGGGCCTCCAAAGAGAGTATAGCCCTGACAACACCTTGATTTTGGACTTCTGGTCTCCAATACTGACACATAATAAACTTTTGTTGTTTTACAGCACCCAGTTTGTGGTCATTTGTTATAGCAGCCACAGGAAGTGACACACTTACCCACCTAAGTACCTGGACACATTGTTTTTCACTTTTCAAATGTCTATCTTGACAATTTTATTCTTTCATAGATTTATTTTTTCCCTAAAGGAGTTGTTCCCAAAATCTATATCAATAATCTCTTCTGAGATCCAGACCCATATTTCCAATCACAATGGTATTCTCTTAGGACCTCAAAGTAACATTTTCTTAAATGTTCATCTCCATTCCCTACCTGCTCAAATATGCATAAACTGTTTCTCCAACACTGTTCTGCAAGTTGGTTAACGGCAATCTCATCTTCTCAGTTGAACAAACTAAAAAAGTGAGAGTCACCTTCTACTTTTGTTTTTCTCTTATCATTTGTATTGAGTCTGTCATTATTTGGCTGCTTTTACTTTGTCAATGCCTCTTGTCTTTTTCAATTCAGTTCTACTGCCATAATTTAAGTCTCCATTACTTGATACCTAATTTATTAAAAAAGAAATAGCTTTCCTGCTTTCACAATCTCCCCTGCTCTAATCCTTCAAGTACACATTTATCACCATATACTCTGCAGTTGTTCATACTTATCTCCCCATATGTAATACTTTCTTGGTAAAATGTTATCTATCTTTCAAGACACTCTTCAATAAAAGATCTGATTTCTAGGGCTTACTCCCATTTCTAAGATAGAGAGGAATGCCCAGGTAATACATTTCAATACCATATATTTATTTAAAATTATTGATTGAAGCTGGGAGTGGTGGAGCCTGCCTGTAGTCCCAGCTACTTGGAAGGCTGAAATGGAGGATCACTTGAACTTAGAAGTTCTAGTCCAGCCTGCACAACATAGCAAGATCCCCATATGTTTTTAAAAAGTGATTGAACGTATACTATATTCCAGATCCTAAACTAAAGATATGTAAGAAAGTAGATATAAGGCTGGAAATTTTAATACCTTTACTACCAGGCTGGGGTATGTAAGATTTTATTCCCTGGTTAAAGAGAAGCCTCTGGATACTTTGTAGAAACAGAAAGTTAAAACATGTAAAATGCACATTAGAATATTCACTTGGTAATAGGCACAGTGTAGTGGTATACTATGATAAGTTTGGGATCATCCAAAACCGGGTTTGAGCCACAGTTGGTTGCCAACTGTACTGTATGGTACAGATGGTTAAATATTTTTAAATTGAGAAATGATTTTACTATATTTCATGTAAATAAGAATAGTACAATAGCTATTCCTACTTGAAATAAAGAAGGTATTGTGTGAACAATGAAGAAAATCATTCATCATATATCAGACATATATTCATATTATTGTGATAATACCTGGAATATAATGTGAAAATATCTAGATTGTACTGAAATTAGAATAGTGGTCAAGAAGGCTGTTTTAAAAGCCTAAGCACATGAGGAAGAGTAAAAGAATCCATTAATGGCATCTAGTAACTTTTTGTACTATTCTTGCAACTCACCTGTAATCTTGAATAATGAACAAATTAAAGTAAAATTTTAAGTTATCAAACATCTGGCCAGTTTTTAATCTAATATACTATTATTTTTCAAAGTTAATCAGTCATATAAAATATTATAGAAAAAGAAAAATATTAAGTGTGGTGATCCATGGCCTCCATTGTATCTACATATTTCCTTCATGAATGTTAGACAAATACACAAAAGTTCAAAATGAGTAAGAATGACGAAGAAAGACGAGACATTCGATAGTTTAAATGATAAAATCACAAAGAAAACCGAGACAATGTAGTTATAACCTAAACGGAAGTTCTTCAAGGAAACAAATATATCTAAATAATATTAATAACTTACTTCACTGGGAGGATTTAAACAATCTTCTCGAGACAGCTGAAGGCTTGGACTGAAAGCCATGAGGTCCGTCTTGGGCGGGCCCTCTCCAGAGCACACCCTCTGCCTCCTCTGCTGCGAGTAAGACCAACTCCCCATGGCGCTGGAGTACACCAGCGTGGGCTTGCCTGGCGAGCACTGGCTCATGGTGGGAGGCGCTGAGCACCGCAGCGCAGTGTACAGCAGCAGTGTGAGCACCAGCAGGCTGGACACTGCACAGATGGCGATGATCAGGTACACGTTGATGTCCACCAGAGCCGCTTCGGGACCCACAGCGCCCACTGAGGCCCGCGACGACACCTTTGGTGCCTGACCGTTCTCCACCAGCGACACCAGCACCGTGGCCGTGGCCGTCAGCGCGGGCTCACCGTGGTCCTTCACCAGCACCAGCAGGCGGTGGCGCGGAGTGTCTGCCTCGTCCAGGATGCGTGTCGTGCTGATCTCGCCAGTGTACAGCCCCACGCGAAACGGGATGCGCGCGCCACCCGCCGCCGGTTGCAACTCGTAGGACAGCCAAGCGTTATAGCCGGAGTCAGCGTCCACTGCGCGCACTTTCGCCACCACTTGGCCCGCACCCACTGACCACGGTACCAGCTCGCTAACTGCACCGCCCGCGCTGCCAGCCCGAGTCGCCAGCAGCGCCGGCGCATTGTCGTTCTCATCCAGCACGAACACCTGCAGCGTCATGTTGCTGCCCAGAGGCGGCACGCCTGCGTCGCGCGCGCTCACCTGGAACTGCAGCAGCTCCAGCTCCTCATGGTCCAGCGGCTGTAGCGCGTACACCTTGCCGCTCTCCGCGTGCACCGACACGTAGCTCGACAGCGCGCGCTCGCCCACCCGCCGCTCCACCAGCGAATAGGACACCAGCGCGTTCTCCTGCGCGTCCGCGTCCCGCGCAGACACCGTGAAGATGTGGCAGCCCGGCGGGTTGTTCTCCTTCACGAACACTGTGTACTCGGGCTGCGCAAACGCCGGCGCGTTGTCGTTCACGTCGGCCACACCCACAGACACGCTGGCCGTGGCCCACAGCGAAGGCGAGCCCCCATCCCGCGCGGTCACCACCAGCTCATAGGCCGACACGCTCTCGCGGTCCAGGGCGCTGTCCAGCACCAATGAGTAGTAATTCTTGTAGGTGGACACCAACTTGAAGGGAACATGAGGTGTCAGTGAGCAGGTGACCTGTCCATTGGCTCCAGAGTCACGATCCGACACACTAATCAGGGCAATGACGGTACCCACCTGAGCATCCTCTTGCACAGGGAGTGACAGTGAAGTAATCATTACTTCAGGGACATTGTCATTCACGTCCAGAACTTCCACCAGGACCATACTGTGACCTGCCATGGAAGGAATCCCTTTATCAATGGCGTTAACCTGAATTTCATAGGCATTATTCTCTTCAAAATCCAATTCACCATAAATTCTAATTTCACCTGTGTCTGGATTTATTGAAAACATACATTTCTCACTCACTGGCAAAATCATTTTCATCCCATAGGAAATTTCTCCATTAAGTCCTTCGTCTGGATCGGAAGCGTTTAGTTGGATCACTCTTGTGTCGTTTTGGACATTTTCAGACAACACCACTCTATAGCTGGGCTTATCAAACGCCGGACCATTGTCATTCACATCCAGGACGGTTATTTGAATCTGAACAGACCCTGTTAGTTCTGGTTTACCGCCATCGATTACCATCAGCAAGAAATTGAGTTTTGGCGTTTGTTCTCTGTCCAATAACTTCCGAAGAACTAATTCAGGCAATACACTTTTATCTTTTTTTGTTTTTATTTTAAGCTCAAAATGCTCATTTAGACTTAACGCATAGGTCAAAAGAGAGTTTACGCCGATATCCGCATCAGAAGCGCCCTCTAGAGGAAAATGAGAGTCCAGAGGCGCAGATTCAGAAACAGGTACCTTTTGTTCCCTTTCTCTGAACACTGGCGGGTTGTCGTTAATGTCCTTTACCTCCACGTCCACATGGAAAACCTGCAGCGGCCTGTCCACTATCACCTCCAGGTGGATGCTGCACTCCGCGCTCCTTCCGCACAGCAACTCGCGGTCGATCCGAGAATTCACAAACAAAATGCCATTCTGCAGATTTACCTCCAGAAGGTCCCCGTGTGTTTTGGACGCCACCCGGAACAGGCGCGGCACCAGCTCCGCCAGCTCCAGCCCCAGGTCCTGAGCAATGCGGCCAACAAAGGTGCCGTGTTTGGACTCCTCGTAGACGGAGTAGTGGAGCTGGCTGCTCCCCACCTCCCAGGCTGCGAAGAGCAGAAGCGAGAGCAGCAGACGCTGAGATCCCGGGCCTCTTGGCCCGATAATCACCATTGCAGAAAATGAGGGCCTCTGAGTTGGGACAGTCAGTTTTAAGGGTTCGCTTGCCTGAGGTATTTCATGAGCAGTCACCCTTTTCTGTAAGTACATATTTAGTACATTTTTTCCAGCATCACAGTCAATATGGAGTCCATCCTATTCCGTGAATGGTTGGAATGTGGGTGCGGAGAAAAAATTTTCCTGTTTCACCTTTTGAGTGTAGAGCGACATCATGTGACCGATTATGTAAGTGCAAGGAAGATTCTGAGGTTCTTTTCGGTTTAGCCACTTTCTGGGTCACTCTAAATTCTGTTGTTTCGACTTTCGGATATTTTTCACGGATAATTTATAAATGCGGGTTTAGTTAATACACATGATAGTAACAAAACATCAACAATTTTATTACACTGTAGTTTAAAAATGTTTTCTGCTTAAAAGTAGAAATCTTTCAAATACGGTAGGTTAGAAGCTACACTTTATCATGGAAAATGATATACAGAATAATATACATCACCCCTGCCCTTATATAGCTTGCAATTCACACTGTTTCAGTAACTTTTAACCTTTACAAGCACTCCATCATAAGATTTTAGAGAAAGTTAGGAATTTTGTATTTAACAAAGGATAAGAAACTAAAATGTCTAATACCAAACAATATTTCATTTATATAAATTGTCTTACTCATAAATCTGATGAAAGTTAGAATTCATCATAAATATGGAGAGTGTTATTGTTTTTGGTTCCTTGATGCTTGAATGTAATAACTTTTCACATAACTGCTCTCATTTCCATAACATGCTAAAACAAATCTCAGGAATAGATTCTGGAAAGTTTTACTCTAGCAAAAGTAAAGCACTTTCATGTTAAATGTTTTATTGAAACCTCCAAATTTCATGCTATCCCAAAGTAACAATGGAGCACTAATATGAGAAAGATCTCTTAAAAGGTTTTGAAGCCTAATCTCATTGACTAAAGTCAAGAGAATGTGAACTTGATATCAACCTTTTGCTTTTTCTCTAAAACTTCCCCTATAGGTCATTTAGTAGTTAGGACATGCTTCTCTTCAGAAAATCAGAATAGTGACTGTGATGCAAGGGGGAATCAAAAGACCTTTAGTGAGTTTATTCATTAATTCAAAATCAGCTTTAAGAGAAAACAAAACACAGATAAGATCCTACAACTCATTGTGAACAACTACACATAGATTTTGTAAGTCTATTAATACTCAAGGTCAAAATCTTTAAACCAATAATTTGATGCAATTCATTGCTATTACATATAATAATAAAGGCAACTGAAATACGACACCTTTACAAAACTAGGAAAGAATAACCAAGAATGGCTCTACAAGTATAAGATAACTTAAATCAACTATAAAACGTTAAGTAATTAAAAATATATTTGAATTTTGATGCCATCAGGCTAATTATTTAAATTGTCTAATATTACCACCAAATTTCTTTCCTATTTTTCATTTTCAAAAGTAGTCAAGGTACCATACGAGCTAAGGAACTTTAATTTTAAAAAATAGGCTGGGTGCAGTGACTTACACCTGTAATCCCAGCACTTTGGGAGGCTGAGGCAGGCAGATCACCTGAGGTCAGGAGTTCAAGACCAGCCTGGCCAACATGGTGAAAACCCGTCTCTACTAAAAATACAAAAATTAGCCAGGAGTGGTGGTGCATGCCTGTAGTCCCAGCTACTCGGAAAGCTGAGGCAGGAGAATCACTTGAACATGGGAGGTGGAGATTGCAGTGAGCCGAGATCACACCACTGCACTCCAACCTGGGTGATAGACCAAGACTCTATCTCAAAAAGAAACAAATAATAATAGTGTATTATGTAGTTCTCACACACTCTTTGACCTAAACAATTTGTTAAGCCAATAGGAACATCTAAGTTCAGCTTAATACTTAAACAACCAAACTAGAAAATAAATTGAAATTATAATTTTATACCATAGAATGCAATCTTGGCATTAAGAATAAGTATAAAAGACACAACTTTTCAGAAATCAGTCCAAGTAATCTAAATTATCTAAAATGCAAATTTGTTATTTATGTGATATAAAATAATAATTTACAAAATTTTAACCTGCACTGAAAACGTTCCCAAGTCTTTAAAAGTTCTTGAGTTATTCCAAAAACTTTATCTGGAGATGGGTAATGTATTCCCTATCTAATATTCACATTTATTATATTTGTAAAGTTTCGTAAGTGGTATGATGGTTTAATCACTTTTGAGTCTGAAATATTTTATATTTTTATCTTGTTGCCTTCTCTTTAATACTTAAAGAATGTTTTTAGCCAATGAATACTAAGGTACAAAAGTTCTTGATCTAAAGTCTATGACTAGGCTTCAGCATAGACTCTTTGAATATTGTGCCAAATGGTATGTTATGCATCTATAAGGGGGGAAATAACTAGATATGATTCTCAAGAAAGTCTGTAATTCCACCACTCTACGTGTAGTAAGAATAACTAAATACGAAGAATGACTCAGAAGTAAATGATCTTTTTTCAGATCTTCAGATGGAGTGATACCACGTGGAAAGAAAATTTCAAAAACATTAGAGATAAGGCACTACAAGATAGAGCAGTTAAAATGTGAGATGAATGAAAAATTGTCAGTAGGTACTCACATTAATATATTTAATTTTTTCTCTGCTACATGAATCTGAAAAACCTATGGAAGAATGCCAGCTAGCATATATTGTAGATAATATAGCCCTATATGCAAGTCTTTATCATGTTTGGATAATTTGAATAATTTTATTTACCTAGTTTCCTTTGGAATCATAAATCATGCCATTTTGTTTCAGTATCCAAAAGTTGACAAATCTCTTGCCTTTGTATGGAACAAAATCAAGAACAGGCAAAAAAAAAAAAAATTTATTTTTTCAGATAGGGGTCTCACGATGATAGCTCACTGCAGCCTGCAGCCCTGAACCCCTGGGTTCAGGGGACCCTCTCATGTCAACCTCCCAAGAAACTGGGACTACAAGCATGCACCACCAGGTCTGGCTAATTTTTAAATTTTTTATAGAGGCAGGATCTCGCTATGCTGTCTAGGCAGGCCTCAAATTCTTGGGCTCAAGCAGTTCTCCTGCCTCAGCCTCCCAAATAGCTGGGATTACAGGCCTAAGCCACTTTGTCTGGCAAGAACATGTAGAATTTTAGTTATATTATTTCCATAAAGCAGCATATAAGAATGCAAGGTTTAACTTTTTTCTTCAAACAATATGACAACAAGTACTACCACAAGAATAAAGACAAAAGTAAAGATTGTTTCATATATAATGAATTTATGATGAATGTTTGACACTGTAAAAATAAAAAAAGTAAAGTAAATCATGTCATACTAATGGAGTATTCCAGTTTTGATACAAGCCTGAAGTTAGAAAAGCCAATGGACTAAGTGTAGTGGCACTGCATTCCCAGCTACTCTGGAGGCTGAAGTGGGAGAATCCTTTGAGCGGTCACCTGTGAATAGCCAGTGCAGTCCAACCTGGACATCATGGGAAGACCTCCTCCCTTTAGAAAAACAAAGCCAATTGATTTAACAATGTGGAAATATCAAGGCAAAAATCTACTAAAAGACAAAGAGGAGCAAATTTAAATAATCCTTAGTTATTATGGCCATAACTGAAGTTTAGAGATGAAGGAGCATGGGTACTTTAGTGAAAATAGTAATTATTTCTACTCAAGTGACTACAGAAGAATCATTCTTGCATCTCATTTCTTTTAATATTTGCTAACCAAATATTAAGAGAAATAGTACATTTATTGGTTAAAGAAGCCGAATTATTCATATGACTAAAAGACTGAAGATGTGTATCATTTGGCATTTCATGAACAGACGTTATTATCTAAAGCAATATTCAAAATACTGATCATAAAACTTTCCCTTAAAAAATCCGTGAAAAACACTGGATTTTAAATAATTTCACATACACTTTCTGATAGGTGGAATCTGTAGAAAACTCACCTGTCCGGGGTGATTTGACCCTGGTTCCTGTCTTTCCCCTTCCTCCTCTTTATTCAGACCTAGAGGAAGACTGGGGCTGAAGGCCATGAGGTCCGTCTTAGGTGGGCCCTCCCCAGAGCACACCCTCTGCTGCCTCTGCTGCGAGTGCGACCAGCTCCCCATCGCGCGGGAGCACACCAGAGTGGGCTTGCCCGGCCCGCACGTGCCCTCAGTGGGCGTCACCGAGCACCGCAGCGCAGTATACAGCAGCAGCGTGAGCACCAGCAGGCTGGACACCGCGCAAATGGCGATGATCAGGTACACGTTGACATCCAACAGCGCAGCCTCTGGGCTCGCGGCTGCCACCAAAGCCCGCGAAGAGACCTTTGGCGCCTGTCCGGTCTCCACCAACGACACCAGCACGGTGGCAGTGGCCGTCAGCGCCGGCTCACCGTGGTCCTTCACCAGCACCAGAAGTTGGTGGCGCGGTGAGTCCACCTCGTCCAGGGCACGCGTTGTGCTGATCTCGCCCGTGTACAGCCCCACGCGGAACGGGATGCGCGAGCCGACCGCCGCCGGCTGCAATTCATATGAAAGCCACGCATTGTAGCCTGAGTCCGCATCTACTGCGCGCACCTTCGTCACCATGTGGCCCGCACCCACCCACCGCGGTACTAGCTCGTTAACTGCGCCTCCCGCGCTGCCAGCCCGAGTCGCCAGCAGTGTCGGTGCGTTGTCGTTCTCATCCAGCACAAACACCTGCAGCGTCACGTTGCTGCCCAGAGACGGCACGCCAGCGTCACGCGCGCTCACCTGGAACTGCAGCAACTCCAGCTCCTCGTGGTCCAGCGGTTGCAGAGCGTACACTTTGCCGCTCTCCGCGTGCACCGACACGTAGCTCGACAGCGCGCGCTCGCCCACCCGCCGCTCCACCAGCGAGTAGAACACCAGCGCGTTCTCCTGCGCGTCCGCGTCCCGCGCAGACACCGTGAAGATGTGGCAGCCCGGCGGGTTGTTCTCCTTCACGAACACTGTATACTCGGGCTGTGCGAACGCAGGTGCGTTGTCGTTCACGTCGGCCACCTCCACGGATACCCTGGCCGTGGCCCACAGCGAAGGCGAGCCCCCATCCCGCGCAGTCACCACCAGGTCATAGGCCGACACACTCTCACGGTCCAGGGCGCTGTCCAGTACCAACGAGTAGTAATTCTTGAAGGTGGACACCAGCTTGAAGGGAACGTGGAGAGTCAGAGAGCAGGTCACCTGCCCGTTGACACCTGAGTCACGGTCAGACACGCTGATCAGGGCAATGACCGTGCTGGGATGAGTGTCCTCTCGTATTGCGAGGGACGCAGAAGTCACGGTGACTTCAGGAGAGTTATCGTTGGTGTCCAAGATTTCCACCCAGACTGTACAGTGACCTGCCATTGGGGGAGTCCCCTTATCTGTAGCCTGTACTTCAATGTTATAAAACTTGTTTTCTTCATAATCTAAAATTCCATTGACCCTCACTTCTCCATTATTTTGATCTAGTGTAAATAAGGGTCTTCCATTGGGCTTAACTGACATTAAGGAGTATGTTAACTCTCCGTTGACTCCCTCATCTCGGTCTGTGGCGTTTAGTTTTATCACAAGAGTTTCTTTAGCAGCGTTTTCCATAAGGCTCACCTTGTATTCTGATTTATCAAACTCTGGATCATTGTCGTTGACATCCAAGACTTGGACTAACAGCTGAACAGTGCCAGTAAGCTCCGGTTTTCCCCCGTCTGTAGCCGTTAGTAGCAAATTAAGTTCCGGAGTTTTCTCTCTATCCAGAGACTTCTTTAAAATAAGTGACAGTCTTTTAATCTGCTTACTATTCGTTGGTGAATCTAAAGAAAAATACTCATTTTGACTTAGCCTGTAGGTCAATAGAGCATTCTCTTCAATATCAGCATCAGAAGCTCCCTCTAGTGGAAAACGCGAGTCCGATTGCTTAGATTCCGCAATCAGCAGCTTTTGTTCTCTGAGCGAGAACACCGGCGGGTTATCGTTAATGTCCTTCACCTCCACGTTCACATGGAAAACCTGCAGCGGCCTGTCCACTATCACTTCCAGGTGGATGCTGCACTCCGCGCTTTGCCCGCACAACTCCTCGCGGTCGATCCGAGAATTCACAAACAAAATGCCATTCTGCAGATTTACCTCCAGAAGGTCCCCATGTGTTTTGGACGCCACCCGGAACAGGCGCGGCACCAGCTCCGCCGGCTCCAGCCCCAGGTCCTGTGCGATGCGGCCCACGAAAGTGCCGTGTTTGGACTCCTCGTAGACGGAGTAGTGGAGCTGGCCGCTTCCCATCTCCCAGAATTCGAGGAAGAGAAGCCAGAGCAGTAGTCGTGGGGGGCCCAGTCCCCTTCTCTGAAAACCAAACATCGCATACGAAATTGGATTCCAAAATAAGCTTCTTTAGACTTACAGTACCAGATTCTTCAGTTTCAGGTTAAAAATCTCGCTGAATTCTTGAGAAGTTTCAAAGGCTCCTTAAACGGTGGCATCCGGTATGATGGAGTCCCTTTGTATGCGAGTTCCTGACTATTCACATCAACCTTTGAAAGAACTTTCCACCAAGTAAAGAGCGACACCTTGCGCCTAAAACTGTGAGTACTGTGCACTACATTTACCACCGTAGAATTTCACGTGTTTTGGGTTTCTTCCCCTAAATATTTCCAACGTGCTTATTTATGGAATATTCAGATTATAAGTCATAATGAAACTAAATATATATGGAAATAGCATTTTATTTCTTGATTAACGTCAAATTTAATTATTGTGTCTATGTTTGACAGCATTATAAAATTGTTCTTTTACTTATCTAAAATACATATACACTGAGAGAGTGAGAGAGAACGAGAATTCAGTTGTTAACGTGGCCTCATGAAAAACTAGGGCTAAACATTTCCTGAAAGTGTTGTTCCTCATATAAAAATATTATCAAATTTGAATTGTTTTACTTTCAGTCTCCCATGTTACTTTGGCTGCTACGGAACTCAAAGAAAAAAATTGAAGTTTTATAAAAGCAGCTCTTTAGTCTTTATGTTTCACATGACCTATTCTCATCTCTGTGGGCTTGCCTTTTCATACCTGTTTTCTATAGTTCTGATTCTTTACTGTTATTTACATTTAATTGCTTTCTGATTATAAGTGACTTTATATCCATTGCAGAACAATATGAAAAACAAGTATATTCATATTCTCAAACTTCGTAGTTTTAAAAAAGGATTCACAAAGGAAAAATCTATTGATCTAGATGAATTTTTATTTGACATTTATTATTTCTAACGTAAGCCATAGTAGCATAATACGAGATATCAAAATTGATCACTTTATGTAATAGAGTCAATGATATGACAGAAATTGGCTTTTCAACTATAAAATAAATTTTAGTATCATTCGATAAAATAAATAAAATCACCCTAAAAATCTTTGTGCATTGGTATTTCCAAGTCACCAACTTTGGTTTCCTTAACCTAATTCAGTTATATTCATGAAAATAGTTTGTTTCTTGTTTAAAGAATTTTGGGTTTGAGAGCATAAGTTCATGGAAAACAAGAGATGTGATTTTTAATTATATCTTCTCTAAGTACCTGATATTGTGCTTAAAACATAGAAAATTAATCAAACAATTCAACTAAATGGTAAATTACCTTAGTGTTTGTGGAAATGGAATTTCATAGAAAATACTGAGTAAAATACAGGAATTGCTTATGAGAGTTTTCATTGCCTGAAGTTGTAATTTGTTTGAATTTTCTTTGTCTTTTCATATACTCTTAGGATTTAGGAGGAAAAAAAGAAGATGCAACAAAATTTTAGAGTAGAAAGTGATTTCGAATAAATACCAGTCTAGCTTAAATATTTTGTTGTATAGTTTTGATGGTTTATCTCCAATCTAAAAATACTGCAATGACATATGAAAAAGTTATCATAGGTGTATGCTAATATTTTATATATATTCAACTATTAATTTGAGATTTTGTTCTACTTTTTTCATATTTACTATTTTCCCAATGTTGTCATAACACTAGAACTCTAATTAAGATGAATGTAAAATTCTGTATTAAAAAATTAAAGGAGACATATCAACTTTTATGACAGTTAGTTCCATCATGCATCTGTAAAATAATCAATCATAGTAGCTTCTAATCAAAATAGAACATTAGACCAGATGACAGTATATTCAACATGATATTTGAAGCACATCAGGTTTATTTTGAACAAAAGGAAACAACAGATCCTCAATCACCTTATTATGGGAATTGGGGATGAAGATGTTACATGGAATGTAGAGTCTTCCAAGGTAGGAAAATGAACCTGAGAAGGTTTACCCTGGAAAGATGATAATATCACATATTTGAATTAAAACAAGATGTTAATTTAGGTATTAATTTCCAATGATATAGCATTTTGTGAATATATAAAGTAGTACTGAACAAACGCCAAGTCATAATAGAGTTTGATAGAGTTTATGAATCAATGACCCATCTTTTGCATTCTGGCTGTGATATTATTTCAGGTGTCACCAACTCAACCAGCCCCTAGTGAAGAGATTATGCTCCCTTTGAACTCATCTTTGAGGATCAGCCTAATATCAGGGTATAGGCTAATGCCAAGAAGTCATTTCAATACAGTTATTGTTAACTGATTTTGTAAAATCAATTGAAGATTAAGGAACTATGTGCCTGACTTTTACTATATCAATCAGGACGTACAATCTGCCTGTATGTCCTGTTAGTCATATATGTATTACAGTACGTATTTTAATGTCTTACTAGTGCACATCATCCACTGATATTCTATAACAGACCTGGCGCTATTATTTCTTGAAAACACCTAAATAAATTTTGACACGGTTGTCAGAACCCCAGGAGGTTCTCCAAAATCAACACATTAGAATTACATTATCCAACCACTGTATTAACAAAATTATAGGATTTACTCAGTAATGCTAATTCTGCTCTATCATGGCTTATTCAAGTGAAAACAGTTATTTGGTCACAAATTGTTTGTCAGTGGTACAAGCTTCCTAGACAATAGTAAGACTGAAGAAGATTGAAAGACCTACACACATTTGAAGATTTTGATGGGAATCTATGTCTCTAAAATTTTTATTAAGTATGCAATATTGTAAACGTTTCTTGAATCCTTTGGCCATGTTCAGGGTCCCTGAAATAATAATATCAACACCTATGCTTGTCCCAAACACTGTCTTTATTCACAGTAACGAAAGAAGGGTGTCATTTTTGGTATAAGTGTTTAGTTTGGGTGTTCCACAAGGATATTGGAAACCACAGTTTTCTGACTTTTCTTGCATGTTAAATGATTCTTACTTATATCACTTCCAAACAACAGAAACGTAGTTCTTATAGAGCAACTCTTAATTACTTAACAATTACATAACCAAAATACCTATCTCAATGTGGCATTGATTAAAACAAATGATAATGATGATCATGAACTCTTATAAGAAAAAAATCACTTAACATAAAAAAACTTAGTGCCATCTCAATCACGCATTGTACAAAATTAATGATGAAGACAATTGTGAAGTTTCTTCTAAGCACAACAGAAAGAAAGATTTGCCTGTACACAGCTTGTGCTTGATTTTCCTAGCCAAGACTGGGTTTGAGTAGAGAAAAGACTTACTGAAGAAAGCTCTACATTATAGTGAACAAAGAATGAATCTGAAGTCTGAAAGATATGCATTTGAATAATATCTCCACCATGTACTGGCACTGGATAAAATAGATAAACATCTCAGCTTCTCTTATTTTATCTTTCAGATTGGAGTGGTCATATGTACTTTAGAAATTGTTATAAGGATTAAATGAAATAATGTATTTAAGCCCCTTACTTGATGTCTAACAAATATATTAATAAACTGCTCAAACAGTGGTGATTTATTATCACGAAGTTACTGATCAGTGTTGGCTCTTGTTCTATAGTTATGGATGAAGAGAAATCCAGCACCATAAAGTAGGACAGGGTTTTCCCTTTTCTGAAATTTCCTTAATGTTTATCTTCATAGAAATCATCCTCTCAGAAGTTATTTTTCTAGGTAGACACCACTAACTCCTTTTCAGCATTTATATTAACTTTACCCTATCTATAACATGATTATCCTCCCATATGTAAATATACTATTTCTTTACACAGAATTAAAGGCCATCTCATTTGTAATTAGAGCCAAAAAGAGCAAAGTAATTTTACATATAATTTGATACACATCCTTACAGCTATAAATACATGTTCTCTGGGATCCCTTTAAAGAAAGCAATTCACACGAATATGGTGTGAAGGCAAAAAATATTTTGCATCAAATATATCAAGAGTATACAATGTTAAATTCTAAGGTATAATTAACACCACAATTGTCAAGTGAAAGTGCCTTTATTAATATCCCATGATTCTTATACTTAAGTTATTAAAAGCAATGACATTTTTTGGTAGAGATGGGGGTCTCACTATGTTGCCCAGGCTGGTCTCAAACTTCTGGCCTCAAGCAATCCTCCTGCCTCGGCTTCCCAAAATGCTGGGATTACAGGCCTGAGACACCGTGCCAAGCTCAGCAATGCCATTCTGAAAACCATGCAGTTTAATGAACACAGACAATGGTATCACTCTTCATCATTTATGGGAAGACTCTCTTATACTTAAAACCCAAATAAGTGTGAATTTTCCTACCCTAAAATATTTTCATGCAGCCAGGTACCAAAAATGAAAGAAAAATGAGTATAATCAGTGCTCAAAGAAATCTTTCCAAAATAGTAGAAGAGCTCAACAACTTAAACTGGAGGACAGCAGCAATTAGTTCAACAGGTTATTAAGCAGAGCTGACTTAAAAAAAAAAAAAAGAACAAAATTATTGGCTATCTGAAGCAGCTGAAGATTGTGAAGACAATGACCTAAAATGAAATTATAAGAAGATTGAAGACAAAAATTAAGAAGTAAAATCACCTTTAAAGGCAAAGCTAAAACTCCACCCACTGCAATCACCATCTCAAAAAAGATTGCTATTGATCGTGAAGAAACAAAATTGTTTGTGAACAAAGCTGCCTCAACCCTGCTGCACCGTTTGTGAAAGATAAATTTACAGATTATAGAAAGATAAAAATTTAAACATATTTTAAACTCAAATAATTATGATATTAAATATTGTCATGGTATTTTTGAATACATAAAAATAATAAGGAATGGAGGACACAAATCAGAATAAGAAAATGAATAGGAATAAAGAACTTGCTTCAAAATTGAGAAGATTTGACCTTCTCATAAGGATCATTATTCATCATTATCCTTCTTGTAAGATTTAACTTTCTCATTTACAGGAAACAGCCAGTCTAATTCATTAGTAGTATTATCGTTATACTTACCGACTGAAGAATATTCCTAAAGAATATTCATGGCGACTGTAGTAAAATGTGATGAAGATGGCTAGACTTCCCATGTACTTTTTTTTTTTGAGACACAGTTTCACCCTGTCTCCCAGGATGTAGTGCAGTGGCCTCATCTTGGCTCACTGCAACCTCCACCTTCTGGGTTCAAGCAATTCCCGTGCCTCAGCCTCCTGAGTAGCTGGGATTACAGGTGCGCACCACCACACCCAGCTAATTTTTTTGTATCTTTAGTAGAGATAGGGTTTCACCATTTTGGCCAGGCTGGTCTCAAACTCCTGACCTCGAGTGATCCTCCTGCCTTGGCCTCCCAAAGTGCCGGGATTACAAATAGGCATGAGCCACTGCGCCCGGCCCCAATGTACTTTAAATAAACCATCTCAAAAGAAAAACAAAAGCAAAATAAATAAAGCAATAGAATTAAACAATAACTTGGTAAACATTATCAATGTAACCATGAGGGATATTAATAGGAATGAAATACTTTCCAGGATTACAGTACTTACATTCTCAAAATTTTTCTATTGAAGTCTGTCTCCAAAACCTGAACCACGGGGAACAGTAGGACTGAAAACCATAAGGTTGACCTTGGGCGGCCACTCTTCGAAGTAAGATCTCCTTTGCTGCAAGTAAGACCAGATCCCACTACGCTGAGGCACACCAGCCTGGGCTTGCCTGGCGTGCATGAGCCCTCGGTGAGCGGCACCAAGCACCGCAGCGTCGTGTACAGCAGCAACGTTAGCACCAACAGGCTGGACACCACTCCGATGGCAATGATCAGGTACACGTTGACATCCACCAGCGCTGCCTCCTGGGCCTCGACGCCCGCCAACGCATGCGATGAGACTTTCCTCGCCCGTCTGCTCTCCGCCAGCGACACAACCACGGTGACTGTGGTAGTCAGCGCCAGCTCGCGGTGGTCCTTCATCAGCACCAGCAGGCGGTGGCGCGTAACTTTCACTTCGTTCAGGGTACTCGTGCTGATCTCGCCCAAGCACAGCCCCACGTGGAACGGGTGCTGCCAGTTGACAGATGCAGCTCTTGTGACAACCAGACGTCTGTAGCTGGAGTCCACCCCGCGCACCTTCGCCACCACGTGGCCTGCACCCACTGAATGAGGGACCAGCTCACTCACAGCGCCGCCAGCCCACCCAAGGCGCCAGCAGCGCCGACAAAGTTGTCGTTCCAGCACTAATACCTGCAGCGTCACGCTGCTGCCCAGAGGCGGCATGCCAGCTTCGCGCGCTCTCACCTGGAACTGCAGCAGCTCCAGCTCCTCGTGGTCCAGTCGCTGGAGCGCGTACAACTTGCCGCTCTCCGCGTGCATCGACACATGGCTAGACAGCGCGCGCTCACTCACCCGCTGTTCCATCAACAGCACATTCTCCTGAGCGTACCGGTCCCGCGTGGACACTATGAAGCCGTGGCAGCCCCGCGGGTTGTTATCTTTTACGAACACCATGTACTCGGGCTGCCCGAACGCCGGTGCGTTGTGGTTCACTGTTCGGTCACTTCCACGGACCTGATAGCTGTGGCTCACAATGAAAGCGAGTCCCCATTCCGCACGATTACCACCAATTGATAGATTTGCTCTCTTCGTCCAGGGCGCTGTGGAGCACCAACGAATAGGTTCTCGGCAGGGCCTATTGAAGGTGGACACCAGCTTGAAGAGACGTGAGGCATCAGGGTGCGGGTCACCTGTCCCTTGGCACTGAAGTTGGGGTCAGTTACACTGATTAGGGCTATGACGGTACCCAGCGGAGCGTCCTCCTGTACAGGGAATGATAGCGACTTACTGCTAACTCTGGAACACTATCATTGATGTCCAAGACTTCTATCAAGTCTGTGCAGTGACCAAACAATGGGGAATTACCTTTGTCAACTGCCTGTATTTGAATCTTTCATTATTTAGTTTCCTCAAAACCTATCTTTACATTTACTTTTATTTCTTCACTGTCTGAATCTATGCGAAAAAGGGCTTCTATGTTAGGGAAGACATCAGTTGCAAAGAAACAACGTGGCTGTTTGAACCCTCGTTCAAATCCAAGGGGTTAAGTCTAATAACCAGTGTACTTTCTCCTGCATTTTCCAGTAATTTCATATGATAGACTGCTTTGTCAAACACTGGGCATCATCATTTACATCCAGCGCTGTGATATGTAATGCTTTGGTGCCTGTCAGCTCAGCTTTGCCCCCATCAGTTGCTTTGAGCACCAAGAGTAGCTCTGAAGTAACTTATCTATCTGAAAGAATTTTTAAAATACACCTTCGAGTGGTTTTACCTGCTCTTGGTTGGTATTTCCAGGGAAAAATAATCATTGGGGTACAGTATGTAAGTCATCAGAGCATTGGCCTCGATGTCGGCATCCCAGACATCCTCTAGTGAAACACGAGAATCAAGAGTCCTAGTTTCAGAAACAGATTCTTTTGTGTTGCTGAGAACACTGGCAGGTTGTCTTCAATGTTCTTCACTTTCACCTCCACATGGAAAACCTGTAGCAACTTGTCCACGATCACCTCCAGATGGATGCTGCACTCCGAGATCCTCCCACACAGCTCCTCGAGGTTGATCAGAGAACTCACAAAGATACCATTCTGCAGATTTACCTCCAGAAGGTCCCTGCAGCCTTTGGAATCCAACTGAAACAGGTGAAGTATCAGCTCCACCAGCTCCAGACCCAGGTCCGGCGCGATACGGCCCACGAAGATGCCATGTGCCGTCCTTGGCCTCTTCCAGGATGGTATAGTGGAGTTGGTCCTTCCCTGCTTCACAAAATTCAGGGAGCAGAAGCCAATGCTGTAGGCTCCGGGATTCCTGGCCACTTAGTCTGGCAGCTGTTATCATGCCTCTCTTTTGGTTAGTAAAACAATATTTCATGACTAGAAAGACTTAGTTCCTCTGAGACCTTTTGATTCCTTGTTCCTGAGGTTCCACATGATCTTAATGGGTGTTTGTAGTTTTTAAAGCACGGGAACAATGGAGCTTCTTTCTGATCTAAGAATAATCTGATTTTCTTCTGTTAAAAAATACTTTTCTTGGAGAACAACAATATCCTGTGGCTCAAAACATAAGTGCATTTGGTTTCATATTATTTCACTTACCTTCTTTCTTCCTGATTCCTGCATATGTTTATGTTTACGATTT